TGCCTAAAATATCTGTCTGGTATTAATAGAGGTATAACAGATTTCTTTTTTAGTATTTACTTAGTATTTTTTTTTCTCCTTGTACTCTTAAGTTTTCTATCTTTATATTATGGACATGTTTCTTACAAGCAACATTTGCTAGATTTTTTAAAAATCCTGCCTGATGACTATTTTTTTTTTAAACTAGAGAGATTACTCTGTACATTTATTATGATTCCTAAAGTACTTTATTTTTAACCATTTTATATTATACTTGGTATTTGTCTCAATTGTTCTGCTTTTTTTCTCTTTTTCTGCCTTCTCTTGCATTTTTCTTTCTCTTCATTACATTTTTTTCCCTCCACTCGTTTGAACTTAGGCATTAGCTTTCACTCTATCCTGTGTCTCTTCTCTTTTATATTTTCCACCTTTATTGTCTCTCTATTCTGCAGTCTGGACAGTTTCTTCAGATATGTCTTAAACTTCAGTAATTCTCACTCCACCTGTGTCTCCACTTCATTTTAACCAGCCTGATGATTTTTTTAAACATATTGTATTATTACTCCAGAAATGCTCATCCTTTTCAAAATTTCGAATTTGCTTGGTTTTATTGTTTTAAAATAATCCCTTGTTCCTTGATTTGATTTTAAATCCTCATGTTTATGTCTTTAAACATACTTACTTTATAATGATCCTTCCAATATCTGATGTCACTGTGGACCTGATTTTGCTCTCTGTTGTTTCTGCTGGGTCTCTCTCGGGGTCCTTTTCTCTTGCACATTTTGGGAATTTTGACTGGGCTCATAATCCTTGGAACTTGATATGTGAGGATTTTTTTGGAGCCCGGTTTAAAGTTACTTTCCTCTAAGGAGGATTTGTGTTTGCTCTACTACGTACCTGTGTGTTGTCAACCTGAAACCACATGAAATTATCCCTTAAGGATTTTCAAACCACACAGTGGGGATTTGGGCCTGAAACCCAGTTTGGGGTTATGACCATTTGGGAGAGACTATTTTTCTCCTTGAGGTTAAAAAAGGCAAGTTCCTTTTCTGTGCCTTTTGGGTGGACAGGTTACTGCTCATTCCCATTTATACTGAGCACAGCCTGCCTTTGAGATCCGAGCTTTACACAAGGGTCCCCTGTTAGACTCCCCACCGTGGACAGGCTTCATCCCTGCCTTCTGCCTCGCCCCACACACCATCATGGCAAAGGATCAGGTCACCAGGGTTCACCTCCAGTGCCTTGTGATGTCAAAGGGTAAGGTCACGAGGTTCCCCTTCCGAGAAAGTGCTAGCTTTAGTCTCGTGTGCCCAGGACCCCGACTTCCACTGTGTTTGGCCTGTGCAGACTCCTTACTTTCTTATCAGCTCAACAGCTATTCAGATGTTTTCTATTCTTTTATCTTTTATTTTTAGTTGACTTCAGCAGGAGGCTGTCCAGGTATCTGCAGAACCACATGGAGTTAATAAATGTTCTGTATTGTCAAGGCCAAGGCACTGTCTTGTTTCTGGCAGATACCAACTTCACTGTTTAGTTCCTCCACCCAAAGATGGTCTCTCCTTCTCCCATGTGCTTTGTAGCTCAACACATCCCCCCAACCAGCACCACAGGGTGAGGGACTATACGGGTACCAACAGATGTGGCCGTGGCAATGCTGAGAGACCTTTCCCCCCCTCACCTCTGAATTGAGCTGTGTGGCACCTTGAACTTTGGAAGAGTCAGGTCCTATATATTAATATCATTCAGGCCCAGGGTCAATGGCTCTCAGCTTTCCTGCTAATACTGCTCTGGCAGAACTTTTCCCCGGCCAGTCTCAGTGTCCTGTCCCATTGCCCTGGGCAGCCTGTTGCCTTGTTTCCAACACCGTGCTCTAACCCAGGGAGCAGCAAACAACTGCCTGCAGGCTGCATGTCACCCACAACCAGATTTTGTAAATAAAGTTTTATTGGAACACAGGCACACCCATTTCTATTATCTTTGGGTGCCTTCCCACTACAATGACCCACAAAATTAGAAATATTTACTATCTATGTCTTTACAGAAAGAGTTTTCAGCCTTGCCCTAAGGCCCTGTCCTAGGCTGCTCACCACCCCTCCTTAACTCTTCCCTAGAGCATCCTGTAACCAGGCTCTCCTCTCCTCCATAACCACTCGTAACCTCCCCAGCGCCAGCCTTGCTCCACCGAAGCCTCCCCCATCCTCAGCCTTGGTCAGGATTTGCCCTTTGAAACACTAGAAATGCATCCTTCCATGTCTAAGAGTCAGTTAATTAGTAGCTTTGCCTCAGAAACCCTCATTTAATTTAGTTTAGGCACTTAAAGTCTCTCCACTGCCTCAAGACCCTTTCTCCACCCTAGACTAGGTGTTCAGTTACAGATCCCTCGGGGGGAGGCAGATAGCTTGCGTACATCCATTTATACGTTCACTCCAAATGCACGTTTCAAGCAGCAGTTACAGCCTTGGAAATACAGCAACAACAAACATGTAACATAATATTTGAGTAAAGTTAAATAGCATTTAATGGCACCAGAGGAGCTCTCCTTTTGAGGCAGTAGCTTGAGCAGTGAAGAGTTTGTTCCTGGAAACAATCACCAGCCAGTTATCTGTTTTGTGTGAGGGCTCATCAATGCGCTTTCTGTGGCTGAAAGAGCACGGCTGGCTTTGTCGACGGCCTGTGGTCAGGAGTGTACACGGTGGACTCAGGCTGCTCAGGTGGGAATCCCTGCCCTGCCACTGACTGACCAGTGACTGTGGGCAAGTCACTTAATCTCACTGTGCCTCAGTTTCCTCATCTGGACAATAGCGTCATAAGGTTACTAATGTGATGAAATAAAATAGAATATTTTAAAGTCCCTAGAACAGTGCCTGGAACCTAGGAAGCCTTCAAATGCTAGCCATTATCATCATGTATTACTTAATCTTTCTGACTTTTGTGTTTCCTTGTCTGTAAAATGGTAATCACAACAACAAACTTTTATTTTGTTTGAGGAGTAACCATGATGGGATTTAAAGCACCAAAACAGAGGGCACTGTAGGAGCCAAATAAATGGCAGATAGACACCATTTTCTGGGGTTTCATTAATAGTTCTCAATCTCCCTTTTTCTGCTGAGACTATTCATAAATTCCTTTTTTCAAAAGAAATGGTTTCTAGAAACATCTAGAACCTGGTGGCCATCCTCAGTATGGAGCCTCCAATGACTTCTTACTGTCTCATTCTGTAGCTGGACACTGGATAAAAGCCCAGAAATGTCTCTTCTCTTGTCTGCTAACGTTACTTACCCAAGACTCAGCCTCCACTTCCAGGAAGCCATCCCTCAACCCCTGACCCCACCACCTTGGCACCTCTGTGGCATCCTGTGATCCTGTCTGTCCACTGGAGCAGAGACTGGTATCATTCATCAGGACGTCTATTGCCACCAAGTCCCAAAAGCATACTGGTTCAGTGCATGAAAAAATGAATGACTAAATGGATGCCAATTAAAATCTCTTTGAGAACACACCATGAAGATCTCTGTCTTTAAAAATTTGCAGACGTGTTCATTTCCTCAATACAATAATATTAAACCTCACAAGAGTACTATATAAATGTACCCCTTTTTAAAAAACCATCGCCAAACTTCACAGTTAATGGAAACATGCACAAAAAATAAGACCCAAAAATATATGGCAACTCAGCTATATTATCCTTGAAACCTTCTATTTTTCTCCTATTCTTTACATTTTGTTCAAATACCATTTCACTTTCTTATGCTATCTGTAAAAATATTTTATGATATTGTAAAGCATTTAATTTTTATAATAATTCAGTGGGGATTTGTTTGTGAGTGGGTTGGGTTTGCATGATAAGTGAGGCTGCTGGACCTGTGGAATGGATGGTGCACATAGCTCAGCAACCCCGGCCACTGCCCCTCATCTAGCTGTTGTGCCTGTCCTGCCTGTGCCTTGCATCGTAACTGTGGTAGCTTTGTATGGCTTAAGGAGAGAAGTGTCTTCATGTTTCACTGAACTTGAAAAATGGGGTGGGGGGCGGCTTCTGGAGGCTTTTTACAGCTGGCAGTTTTGAATATATAATCAATTGTCAAGCAAATAGTGAAGAGTAATGGAATAAGACCCACACAATGGGCATGACAAAGACAGGTTATATCTGATTTTGCCATATATTCAGCGCTCCACCATTGCAAGGGCATGGTGGAGGCATACATGGTCTTTGCTTCACCTGAGAAACTGGGAATTCTCATACAGCAATTGCCATTTACACAGATACAAATAAAGGAAAGCAAAGCATCAGTTTTCTCACAGCCCTGCAAAACCTAGTCAAGACAGAGAACGTCCTGAGCTCTGGGGTTCTTTCCCATAGGCTATCTCCTGTCCTGGAATTCGGGGTGCTCCAACACCGGGTTCCATGCCATGGGCCTGAGGAGAGTGGAGTGCCCTTAATGACCATGTGGTGGGCCTCCTGCTAGGTGGTTTGTCTATCAAGTTTGAATTTATTGAAAAGGAGTGTGGAATCCAGGACATGTTGGCAGGTTGATATTTTATCATTTTTAGAATGAAATGTTTAAGCACATGTATACACCTACAATGAAATATTTAAAAAGGAAGGAAATTCTAATATATGTTATAACATGGATGAACCTTGAGGGCCTTATGCTAAGTAAAATAAAGCCAGTTGCAAAAAGACAGATACTGTGTGATTCTAGTCATATGAGGGACCTAGAGTAGTCAGCTTCACAGAGACAGAAAGTGGAATGGTGGTTGCCAGGGCCGGGGGCAGGGGGATGGGGTGTGAGTGTTTAATGAGTACAGGGTGTCACTTTGGGACAATGAAACAGTTCTGGAGATGGATGGTGGGGATGGTTGCACAACAGTGTGAAGTGATGGTACGTAATACCACTGACCTGTACGCTTAAAAATGGTCAAAATGGTAAATTTTATGTTATGCATATTTCACCACAATTTTTAAAAAGCAAATAAATAGATAACTAAAAAGCTTAGGCGTACACACACACACACACACACACACACACACACGACACTTAGGGGGGATCCTACAGATGTGGGCTTGAAGCCTCATTTGGTGGCCCCTCAAAGGGCTGGGAGCGGGCAGCTCTGCTCCGCTGGCTCCTACCCCGAGTGGCTCCTGGGACGGTAGCCTGTCCGGGCTTGAGAGGCGCGGGCAGGGTTGGCTTCTGTTAGTTTTACAGACCAAAGGTCGTTTACTTTGGCATTTTTAACAAAGGTTTAAAAGTCTCTGGAATTTGCCAGTCAGGCTGGTCTCCCGGATCAAGCAGCGTGTACTTTCTCCTCAGCGCAGAGCCAGGAACGGCGGGCGGCATGAAAGCGTCCCCAGGGCTGCTTTCTCCTTGAAGTAACAAAAGGGAAGACGCACGAGGAAAAACACCCACATGGAATCAAACACTGCAGAAAGCAAACTTCACGCGGCAGGATGTTAGCACAGAAGGGAAACGGGAGGATAGGTTAAAGCCGTGTGAAGTGCAGAGAGTTCTGAAGGGAAAGCTCTTAAGCTATTTTTAGCTGCAAAAATGCTATAAATCCTGTTATCCCATTACACTCCAGCAGATCAAATTATTTGCCTTTCTCTCCTTTTACCACCACTAATTTTTTCTGTTTGATTAAATGAGAGCGGGCCTCAGAGGCAGCTGACATCAATGGAGAGGCCTGCTTTGGGGGTGCACAGGGCCTCCCTGGGTCTGTTCTTCTCTTCCACACGTCTGTCACTAGCAGTGACATGTCGAAGCCACGCATCGGCTTAGCACCCTTTCTCCAGGATCCATGGGTAATTCGTAAGTCCTGAACTAAAGCTCCTGGCCAGTATCGTTTTGTGGGACCAGCACATGTTGCGTGGAGAAATGCAGCGATGGCCTGGTCCCCACGTCTGCTAAGAGGCCTTCGGGAGAGCACACAATCGGGTATCTGCCTCTGCCTTTCGGACCTGGCCTTCCCTCAAGGCCATATGCAGAATCTCCAGCTGCCCTAGGAGCTCGGGAATCTGTATTTTAATTGCTTTCTAAGTACTTCTGCTGCCCAGCGGGATTTGGGAACCACGGCCTGAATCAGTCATGTCCCATCAGTGGTAACTTGTGCAGAGCTCAGGTGTGGGCTGGTGTGTGGCCGGTGGGGAAGGGGAGTCTTTCCAACCTGGATGCTTGTTACTGTCGGCAGCGTGGTGAGCGTGCTGTGTGGCTCAGGGCCGAAGCCCGTCTCTGGGCATCTCACCTGTCTGGAAAGCATCGCAAGACAGGGCCCAGAGCCCTTCACGCTGAGCTCCCGAGGAAGGTGGAGAGCTCGCCCCGACTCTTACCTCACCCACGTGGAGGTTGTCACCTGCCCTCAGGTGCTCGAGCTTGGAGAAGTGCTGCGAGAAACAGGAACTGTGGCTGCCAAGAGAGGCAGATAACGCCCAGGGACCAGAGAAAGGGCAGAAAAATGAGAGAAAGTGACAGAAGAACCCAGGAGGTTTGGCATTCCATGGGCCACTTGACTCCGAGGTCCTTAGTCTGCCCTCCTGGGATTGAATTCCTTGACTCCTCAGGAAGACTTGCAGTTGTGTTCACTTTGCTCAGCCAGGGAACACAGGGCATATGAGACCCTGTGGTCATTGCTCCTTCCAGAATGGTTGGAATAGGAGAGCTTTCTGGTGCAGCTGGTTTGAGAAGGGTGTTGTCCTGCACAGCCGGGCTGCACCAGGACTGAGCAGAGAGCCCCCAGCCTCCCTCTCTCAGGTGGGCTCGCCAGCCCCAGGGCTTCTCGTGGGGGGCTTTGTCATTTGGGCGTGTCCTGTGGGTGTCACAGCACCCATTTGACACAGCTCCACATGCATTTTCTGATATTTTTGCACCCCGTGGTGGTGGTTCCAGTCGTCAGTGGTAAATTAAACGTGACGTGACTGTTGGCTCCAGTAGCTCTTCCTGGCATGCCCTCTTAGGGAGCCCTGTCACCGTGCTAAAGGGCAGCTGTATGTTCAACCAGCCAGTCCTTTCCATTTTATTCTGTGTACTGCCTTGTAAGAATACCAGGGGCCTTGTCTTGTACAATACTGGGACCCAGTAAAACAAAATTTTCAAACATGTCTGAAACGCCAATTTGGAAGTCTAGGGACTATCAGGATGTATCGGTGAGGTATAGCTAAGCCCAGAATGCTGTTCTTTGTAGGCCATCTGGACATCTACCTTGGCTACAAAAGGGGGCAATGGGTCAGAGTTACCCAATGTCCATGGAAGGTTCTTTGGCATCAGCTGCTGTGACAGAGGACAGCCTCCAGGGCCTAGGGCAGTGCATGTGGCCCTGCCAGGATCACTGGCCACCTGGCTCCAGACGGTAGGGAAGGCTGGGCAGGACGGGGAAAAATCCAGAGGACTGTCCCAGGAGCTCTGTGAGCAGCCTGGAGCAAGGAAGGCAGCGTTCCCTGATATTTATGCCTAATCAAGAATTTGACAGACTAACAGGATACTGGGTCACCCACAACCGGATGGGCGCACTTTGGAGACAGCTGAGGACCTAGAAAACCAGCAGTTCATGTTTCCAGCATTGGACAAGGACATGAGCAAGATGTGCAGTGACAAGCTGGAGAAGAATAGCTTTCTCTGTCAAACCCAAGAGAGAAGAGGAGGCATAGAGAGATTTGGGTACTTCATTTCTTCTTCAGAAGGAGCACCTGGTTTTAGCCAGCCACGGAAATGGCCCTGTGTGGTACATTAGGCTCTGTAAGAACAGACACCTTCCATTATCTGCCAACAGAATCAAGGTAACTTTGTTATTTCGTTTGCAAGAAAAGGTGTCTGATTTTGTTGCTGTAGGTTATGTACATTCTCAGTGATACCCAGCCATAAGGGAGTGATGTTTACTTGTTTGAAATTCATCTGAGTCCAAGTAATATTACCTGGGTTTTGTGTGTGTGTGTGAAATTTTATTTTATTTTTTACTTTTTCAGTATATTATGGGGGCACAAATGTTAAGGTTATGTATCTTGTCCTTGCCCCCCCCTCCAGTGAGAGCTTCAAGCGTGTCCATCCCTCAGTTGGTGTGCATTGCACTCATTACCTAGGTTTTAAATGTTCACCACTGATTTTTTTTTCAATAAAGATACTATAAATTATTTAAAAGAAAATGCCCTCTAAATATTTTCATCAAGGTGCGGTAGAAAATATCTCTGGAACACATGTTGGTAGACATGAATAATTTGCTTCCTTGATAATATTTATTTTTTAAAGTAAATTTTATTGTATTTGAGGTTGACAACATAATGTTATAAGCTACACATAGGTAGTAAAATGGTTACTGTAATGAAGCCAATTGCCATATCCATCATCTCACACAGTTCCTTTTTTTGTGACAAGAGCAGCTAAAAATATACTTATTTAACAAAAATCCCTAATGCAATACAATTTTATTAACTATAATCCTGTCATGCATTAGATCTCTAGACTTGTTCATCCTGCATATCTGCTACTTTGTATCCTTTGAATGACATCTCTGTTTTCTCTCCCTCCCCCAGACCCTGGTAACTACCATTTTCTTCTCTAGCTTTTTTTTTTTTTTACATTCCATTTATAAGTGAGATCATGCAATATTTCTGTTTCCGTGTCTAGATTATTTTCTTTAGCATAATGTCCTCCACGTTCATCCGTATTGTGGGAAATGGTAGGATATTCTTTTTTTTTTTTTAAGCAGCTGAATGATAGTCCATTATATGTGCACCCCATTTTCTTTATTCATCCATCTACGGACACTTAGCTTGTTAACATATTTTGTCTATTGTGAACAGTGCTGCAGTGAACAGTGGAGTGCAGATATCTTTACAAGGTGGTGGCTTCATCTCCTTTGGGTATATACCCAGAAGAGGGATTGCTGGGTGATGCGGTAGTTCATTGATAATATTTAAATGCTCAGAATTTTCTTTTTGCCTTTTTTATGTTCTATGAGCATAATCTCTGTTTTTAAAAAATCATGACATCGTCAATATTTTAACTTGTAAGAATGAAATACAGTAAATTAAATTTAAGCCTCAATGGTTGCATTTGATTGCCTGTGGAGGTGGTGCTGTGTGCAGGGCAGGATGGTCTGTTCATCCTTCACTGAGATTCTTTAAAACAATAGAGACGGCCATTCAAAGGCACCTGACTGCAAGTCCAAGGCTGCGATTATGCCCTTGGAATCAGTTTCCCTGTCCTCTTGTTTTCTCTCATGGTGTGTGTGGCATCGGGGGCTTCCTGCCCACCCCTGCCCTCTCCCTGGGAACTTGTGAGCCCTCCAAATTCAGGCAGGCCTGGCCGCAGAGGAACACCTGTCTCTCGCAAGGTAGTCAGGGCAGTAACATCGGGCCGTATGCTGGATATGGCACTGTGTCCCTTGCAAAAAGCTTTCCCTCTTTTTAGATTAAAAAAAAAATGACTGTAAACAGGGGCAGGTGTGTCCAAGCAGCCACTCAGGAGAGAGGCCCCGGATCTGTGGCCGAGCGAGGCAGCTCTGGGGGGTGTGGGGGTGGCCACTGCCACCTGTGCTGCTGGGGTCTAGTTCCACCACACCAGCACATTGTGCCCACCTCCAGAGTGCACATTTCAGGGCATCCTCAACACCCAAGAGGAGGGCAGTGGCTGAAGATATTTGCCCTGGAAACAAGAGGCGTCTGGGGGAGATAGGATCCCTCTGTTCCTGTATCTGAGGGCTGACTGCATCCCTAGGATGAGTTTAATTAAAAAAAAAATTTTTTTTAAATGGAAAATAACAAGTGTTGGTGAGCATATGGAGAAATTGGAACACTTATACATTGCTGGTGGGAATGTAAACTGGTGCAGCCGCTGTGCAAAACAGTTTGGCGGTTCCTCAAACAGTTAAAACATAGAATTACCATATGACCTGACAATTCCACTCTTTGGTATATACCCAAGAGAAGTGAAAACATATGTCCACACAGAAACTTATACGTCAGTGTGCACAGCAGTGTTGTCCATAGTAGCCAAAAAGGTGAAAGCAACCCAAGTGTCCATCGATGGATGAATGAATAAAATGTACAGTATGTACATATAATGGAATATTATTTAGTCTTAAAAAGGAAGGAAGTTCTGAAACATGTTCCAATGAGGATGGACCTTGAAAACATTGTGCTAAATGAAAGAGACCAATGACAAAAGGTTACACATTGTATGATTCCCATTATATGATATACCCAGAAAAGGCAAATCCATAGAGAAGAGGGGATTAGGGGTGGTGGAGATGGGAATAGTTACTTAATGGGTTCTCAGTGTTTCTCTGGGGGGGATAAAAACATGGCTTTGAACCTAGAGAGAGGTGGTAGTTGCACAACACAGTGAATGCAGTAAGTGCCACTGAATTGTGCATTTTAAAATGGTTAATTCCATATTATGTGAATTTCATCTCAACTAAAAGTAATCTGAGAGCTGTCACTCTGCATGGCTCCTGGACACATAGTGAGAAGAAAGGAGTAGAAGCCCCAGAAGTAGGGGCAGTCGTATTTTGGCTTAATAGAAATATCTTTCTAGTAAGTACAACTTGTAGGAAATAGAAGAGGAAGAGGCTGCCCGAGAAGGCTGCAAGTGGAGGAGACTTAAGGAACATTTGCTGGGTGTTGTGGATGGTTGTCAAGCTCTGGAAGGGCGGTTCTCACCCCTGGGTACACACGGGATTCCCCTCAGTGACATAAAAAAGTAGCACTTGGGCCCTACCCTGGGGGTGCCGATGCCATTGGTCTTGAGTGTAGCCTGGGCATCAGGTGAAGGCCCTGGTGACTCAGCTTTCAGTCGAAGCAGATGACCTTGAGTATCTGCCCCAACAGGTGCTTGTTTTAGTGGCCGTGGTGCGTGCATGCCCAGGCACCTCACTTCACGGTGTGAGTGACGTACTTGCAGCTTCAGCCTTAGCTGGGAGCTGGTTAGAACTCTCAGCCTTCCCCATGCCCACCAGACCAGAATCTGCACTTTCACAGGATCCCAGGGTGACCCGTGTGCCCATCTGAGTTTAAGACGTGCTGCTGTAGATCTTTAAGACACTTTGGACTGCTTTTTCTCATTTTGTCTTCTGCACAATTGCAAATTTGTTGAGCTCTTGACAGGTGAGGGAGTCCAGGCACTGAGGCCCTTGTTCAGTCCACATGGCAGTGGCAGTGCTTGTCTCCCAGGATACCAGCCAGATCCGGGGCCTTCTCCCCGAGGCCCGGGAGCCCGCTTCTTCCCTCTTTGATTTCCCACCCACTTTTTTTGTGTGGTAGCCTGGGCGAGCGAGTGAGTGACATGCTGTGGAGGAAATGCAGGGGCCACTTCCGCATCAAACTCTCAGGTGCCCAGCACACTCAGCTCACCTGGAGCCGTGCTTCCTGCTTCCTGCTCCTCAGTTCATGACTTTGCTTGATACTCTCTGTTGGGTGTGGGGCCAAGCTGAGGGTCCTGGTGTGGGCAGGAATGTGGGTGGACACATGGTAGTTCCCCGAGGGGCAAGGGTGGAGCTGGTGGAGACATCTCAAGGGAAGGAGCCCTGGGCAGGAGCCTCAGGGGCCCGTTGTGTCTCCAGTGGCTGCAGTGGAGAGGCAGGGGCCGGTTTCCAAGAACTGACCCTCCCGGTCTGGACAGCACTGGACAGCACTACCAGCTAACACTGATGAGACATTTTCATGCTGTGTGACCTCTCTCTGCTTTGGGTTTCTTATTTTCAAGTAGGGAGCATTATACCCCAGCCCTCCGCAGTACGGACAGAAGGACAGACATCTCCCACAGCCTGGGTGACGGGAGAGCACAGTGCCCCATTGTCAAACCTGACCCTTTTCCCATGGTAACTCACAGAAGTTTGCAGCCACCGTGCGGCACTCCCATGTGATCAGTGAGGCGTTGACGAGGGGCGGGAAGTGGCAAGTCTTGATAGCTCACTCGAGAGCCCGTGTTCCTCGCCTTAGTGTGAGTTCTGGAAAAAGGAAGAATGTCAGGGCGGCCCCGGGGTTACCATGCTTCACGTATGAACGCCTGACAATTAACGCGCTTTGTCCCAAACATGAGTTTGCAGCAGAGCTTGTTTGCCAAGTTACTCTTTGAAAGTCTGTAGCCTGTTTTGGGGTGTTGCAGGGCTTGATAAAACCAGGAGTTTGAAAACCAATCTACAGAGCAAGCAGTAAGGAACAGGAGGTGTCCAAATCACTGCTATGTTCTATCAGCCCAGGGTTCATGACATGCAGTATCGGCAAGCAGAGGAATAGACTGAGGGTGTCATTGCTCCACACCCAGGCTTGTTGATACACCCTGGGAGCTGGGGAATCCTTCCAGGCTGAGCCTGCTGGGGCTGGGGAGATCTTACCCCCAGCCCTGGAGTGTGATGCCCTGTGATTCCTCACTGCACAGCGCTCACACTGTCATTAGCTGTTCCCTTCCTTTTTTCGTTAAACTTTTTATTTTTAAATAATTCTCCATTCAAAGGAAGTTGCAGAGATGTTCATGTTTGGTGTGCCTATCATCCATTTCCCCCCGTGGCACCGTCTTACATCACTGGAGCAGAGTATCACAACCAGGAACTCGACAGGCGTGTGTATAGTTCTCTGTCCTTTTACCACGTGTAGACTTATGTAACCACCACCACCACCACCTCTTCCCTTGATTTTTAAAAAAATAATTGTGGGTCCTCTCAAACAAACTCCAAGAGGGCTAATTTCCTGGGTGCAGGAAGGAGCGCTGTGCATCACAAAGTGAGGTGCAAAGACCTCTGCCTTGCCTATATGAAGTCTCACACACACACACACACACACAC